GCTATTGCCTTGATAGCGGAAGGTTGTCTTGAGATGTGCGTTTCCGGCGATCTTTTCAGGATTGGGAGTTGGAGGATGTCACTGGTTTTTTGGCTCTCTTGTGTAGGCAGGAGGTGGGAGGCAGTAGGCAAATTCCCTCATTTGGGTGCCTTCTACTCGGGGGATGTTCCAGGTCCGGTCCTTTTTTGTGTGCCTCTCTGGTTTTCATGGTACCACCTTCCCGTGGAAGACGGTGTGGTTTTCTAAGGCGCCTCTTAGGGTGGCCTTTTTTGTGTGAACTGCAGCTTGAAGTAAGATCCTGACTTTGGACAACTTAAGGAAGAGAACACATATCATTGTTAATCGGTGTTGTCCTTGTAAGTTTAATGTGGAGCCTTTGGAAAGAGCGGAATAGAAGATCGTTTGATGGAAAGGAGTCTTCCATTGGGGTGCTGAAGTTTTCTATTATTTGTACTCTTTTTTGTTGGGGTTGGGGGAGAGATTTTTCTTCTCTTGAGGAGGACATTGTGGACCTCTTGAGTTCTTTTAGTTCATAGATTCTGTTTTTTGTATAGCTTGGGACGCGTTCCCCTTTTGAACGCTTTCTAATACACTTTACTTATCAAATATATATATATATATATATATATATATATATATATTCTAGCTTCAACTTCACATCACCAGATGTGAAAATGCATTAAGCTAGGTTTTCTACCAGTCTATAACTCAAAATATAATTGTCATTAGAGTTATTGGAAGTTAGTTACTTATCAAATATATATATATATATATATATATATATATAATTGTCAGTCTTGAGGGCTTCATCCTGCAAGGATTCAGGCAGGAAAACTTACAAAACATACTTCTCACCATGTCATTTAGCGTGCGGTTACGCTTTCTGCTACCCCATTTTGTTTAGCCATCCCAGGAGTAGTACATTGAGCAACTATAATGCACCCTTTAAGAAAATTGAATTAAAGGGGCCAGGATGACGCCCAAACTCATCACAACTCTCCACCCCATGTTACAATTTTAATTTTCCTATGTAATTGATTTTAGATCTGAAAAAATACTTTAAAGGCATCAAGAACACAATTTTTTTCTCAAAATAGAAAAATATAACAGCAATGCGCGTTCAATTCTTTTCTTAGAAATATGACCAACCATCTATGCCAAAACATGGATGAATTTTCATTAAGATGTACACGTTTTTCTCCAACATCATTTTTCATCCTTAAAGTTATAAAAGAATGAAATAAGATAAAACCACTCTTATTGAAACCTAACAACTCCTATGGATTTGACAGCTACTTTCATGTTACTAATCAATTTAGTATGCACTGGCATTTCTAAAACTGGTTGAGTTTATTGTTCAAGTTGTGGAATCTCTTGATTAAACCACAGGTTGAATCCCATGAGTCCCGGTCTTTCTCTGATCAATGGGAATATCATGATGGAACAACTGCATGCTCTTTCTCAAACGGTACGCTATTTCAAATGATGAATAATGGTTTGCCTAATGGCTTTTTTCAACCTCAAAAAGGGCTTAGAAAGGGTTGCCCACTGTCCCCTCTCCTATTCACTCTTGTTACTGAATACTTCTCCAATATGATACCTAACAAAGGGAATGCAGGGCTTAATAAGGTGCACGAAGCTGCAGAGATTATCCTTTTCTTAACATCCAGGTTTCTTATCTATTTTATGTTGGTGACCTGCTTATAATCTCTCAATGCTCTTTCAGAACTGCCTTGCATATTTTAGTGGTTTTGAATGACTTTGCAACTCTGTCCGGTCTTGCTATCAACAAAAATAAGAGTACCTTGTTTTTCTCAAGGTCTGTAAGAAGAAAGAGGAAAATTTAAGGTTTGTTTCGATGCAAAACTGGATGTTTCCTTTATTCTACCTTGTATTACCTCTTCTTAGTCATGGATTAACAAAAGCCTCTTGTTAAGACTTTAGTAGATAAGATAACAGCAAAACTGTCTTCATGGAATGGTGTTCATCTTTCCCTTGCAGGTAGACTGTAGCTCATCAAGACAGTTATTTACTCTTATTCATACTATTGGTGTCAGTTTTCAAGTTGCCTGCATCAATGTTCTAATAGAAAAAAGATCAGGGACTTCCTCTTGGGGTCTAAGGAAGGTCGCAAAAAAAACTCATGCTTTGAAGTGAAATGTGGTTTGTTCTACTAAAGAGGAAGGGATTTTGGCTTGAGGAAACTACGTAATATAAACCGTGCTTCTCTGCAAGCTAATTTGGAAATTTTTTAGGTCTAACGAATCTTATGGGTAGCATGGTTCAAAAAAAGGTACGGATGTGATAATTCATGTGCCATTCCATCCAGCTCTCGCTCTATCATTTGAAAGAATATGCTGCAAGTATGGGACTTTATGGCTAAAGAACATTTGTTATAGATTGGGTGATGGTGCTGCTACAAGACTATTTCTGGATCCATGGTGTCGAGGACAAACCATCCTTCAAAGGTTTTAACACATAATTTACATGGAAATTGGTCTTCCCAGGAGCTCAATGATCTCATCTTTGATTACAAATGGTGCCCAGTGTTTCTCATTTCCACATTCAGCTGATGCACATGAACTCAATAACTTTATCCTATCTATTCCTCTTCATCATCGAAATGATCAAATTGTGTGGATCGATGGACCATTCAGTTGCAAACCTATTTGGAATGCTTGGAGGGTTCATCACTCCAAGGCTGCTTGGTATCAATTGTGCAAGAACGGTAGCAGACCTAAATTCTCTACTACTTCTTGCATTACCCTCCACAGCATATCATTATGTAATTTGAGACTTAGAGGACAGGTTCTTACCTCAGTATGCCACCTTTGCCATGGAGTTGAGGATTCTGTTAGACATCTCTTTCTTACTTGTCAATTTGCTCAAGGAATTTGGAGATGGCTAAATGATCCCTTGAATTGGCATATGCCTTTTGAGTTTGAGGACTTCCAGCTTTTGACAAGTTGGTTCTCGAAAAACTTTAGGTCTAGCTCAGTTAGACATAAACTAGGTAGAAGACTGTTTCTAATTCTCTTTGGTACATAAGTAACTTAAGATTACATGATGGTGTGTCAACAACTGTTGAAAGATTGCAGATTCATTTTGTTTTATGTTTTGTTCTGGGTTATGGTTTCAAGCCTTGTAAAAAAGGGTAAAGGATAGACTTTAGAAATGTAATTACATACACTCCCCCATTAAGTTTCATTAAGTTTCCAATTGCAGCCTTATCTAAGGTTACAAACTTCTATCCCACAGCATAGTTTTGTGCTATTGCACCCAGTAACTATTGGCTACAAAAGACTCGTTCCCTTTATATAGGCATCATTGTCCTAATGAAGGAAGCGATAGCGTTTTGTCCTAATGAGGTAGTCACATAAACTCCATTGTTTACGTAGTTAAAGTCTTCATGGGTTTTCTGTTACAATCTTATCTGAATCAACCTTATCTAACTTTGCAACCTTAACTAATAGTGTCCAGCTAGAAAGCACGAACACACCTAAAAAGGCAAAAAATCCATGTTAAACACCAACACGCGCCAGACACGCCAAACTCCCTATGATAAGATAGCATATTGAGGTAGTTACCTATTTGCAGGAAAATATTATCTAGTGGAATCTGGATACACAATCCAACTTGGTTATCTGACGCCATATCGGGGTGAAAGATATCACATGCAAGAGTAAAGGGCCAATGGAAGGCAATCTAGTGGTCGGGAGGACATATTTAACTATAGGCATTCCTCTCTAAGAAATGTGATTGAACGTTATTTTGGTATGGTGAAAATGAGATTTCCAAAACTTAAGCAAATGCCTTCTTTTGAATTAAGCAGGTACAAATATGTTATCATTACTTGTTTCAGTCTTCATTATTTCATTAGAAATATGGATGTATGTAACAATGATTTTGTTGATGAAGTGCAAAAACAATTTAGTAGACCTCGACTTTTGAAGCAAATGAGTTACGTGATTCGATTGCCGATGCAATATGGAATGCTAATCATAGACTCAATTTGTTGTAATTTTATCGACATGTATGGTTATGTGAACTCTATGTGCAATTGACTTATTCCCTCACTAGACTTTCTCATTAAGGGCATGTATACTTATGCAATCTCGTGTGTAATTGATTTATTTCCTAACTAGACTTTCTCATTACGTTCACTCTATGTATGCTTGATTGTATGTTTGATTGTATATTCATCAAAATTAGCCCCATTTTGTTCAATTGTTCTTTAAGTCATTATCTTACACATGTATGAAGTTGGTGCAGGAGGTTTAAACCACAAAGAGGTTGACCTCCATGTGCATGTGGTAGAGGTTCAATTAGATTTTATATGGCTAAAACTTCAAAAAAAAAAAAAAAAATATTGGAGGTTACTTTTACGGGTGTCTGGCATGAGATGTATTAACTATTTGATTAATTTCACAGTTGATTAACCAGTTGTAATAGTGATTATGATTTATAAATGTAGAATCATGTTGATGCCTTTTATTGGTTTGATAATAATCAACATCAACAAAATGCTACCAAAGATTATGAGGATTGAGAGTTAGATTCTGTAGTTGCAAACCTACTAGTTAGATGGTTCATTTTTTGTGGTTGTTGCGGGTTTGTTATATGAACATTTTCTCTGTTTTTGATCATTGTAATTTTTTTTTCCTTATACTCAGTGATTGTTATTGCAAAATGAACTATGTAGACTAGAAGTCTTATTGTATTGGTACTTACTAGAACATCTTTATGTTTTGCATAAGATCAAACATGTAATGTTAGCACTGTCCTATTCTGTAGAGTACAACTTTGGTTTTTGGATTATCTAACGTCTTTTATGCTTTCAAATTTTTCACATGTTTTACTTCAGACAGAAATGAGCACAGCAATTACACCTTTCGTTTTTCACATAAATGACAGCACATCATTTAAAAAAATAAATAAATAAAAATAGAAACGTTACAAAACAAGCTCTTAATTTCTTATTCTACAAAAGCAATACTTACAAAGTCGGACGGGTAATCATCCGGGGACAGAGGCTCAGTGTCCACTTCTTCTTCCTCTTCTTCCTCTTCTTCCTCTTCTTCTTCGTCTTCTTCTTCTTCCAACCTCGCATGATTCTCGTATTGCATCACCTTCCTCGCATGATTCTCGTCTCTCTTCACCTTCCAGGGCAATTCTGGCCCTTCTTTCAGTAAACGTTCGAATGTTCTGTTGCGATAGTCCAAACCCGAACCGTTAGTTGGACTATCTGACCCAGAATTGGGGTAGGAAGGAACGAAGGTGCAGAGGGAACGAACAGCCATTCGAGAGAGGAGCTTCGAGTAGGCTGTGGCGAGAGCTCTTGATGCCATTTTTGCAATTTCTAGGGTTTCCATGTGTGCGTGAGAAGACAGTAGATGCAGTAAGGTACGTGTGAATGTGTGATATACAACCGCGGCGGTATGATCCGGCTCCTATACGTTGCTGAGGTGGACCGTGATTTCCACTGCTCCTCGAACGGCAGAGATCGCGCCACCTCAGCAATTCGGAGCACAACGTTTGGCATTTAAAAAATATATAGAGAAAATTACACCGACACCACGAGGTTAGGTCATATTTTAACTTAGGTGAAAATTTTAGTTTTAAATTTCACTTACACCCCCAATTTACTTTTTGCCTGCGAATTGATCATTTTATCCTCAATTTTTTAACACAAAATACATATAATCTTAAATGACCAAAAAACCCCTCTATATATATACTATTTGGGTAATCCCCACATTAGCACCTTCTTTCTCCTCTCCTAAGGATCAAAATAGTAAAGGCCATATGATTGAACCAATATGTATGTTACAGGAGCTAGTTTACCATTTTTTTAAGGGTTAACTACAAAAAACCTCATTTACTATTGATATAGTGCAAAACAGTTCATATGTGTATAAAACTCTTTTGTACTATCAATTTGATGCAATTACCCCCTGTTCGCATAAAAAAGACATTAATACCCTCTCTAATATAAATTTATGGGATAAGTGCAAAGAATTCCCTTGATATACGGGGTTTGTGCTGAAATAGTCCCTACATTTGAAAATGTGCATTTCAGTTCATAAAATAAATAAAAAAAACGTAAATAAGCACCTCTAATCACTTTTTGGTCAAAATTGACATAAAATAATTTTTTTAAAAAAAAGACATGATATTTTATCCTCATTTGAAAAAACATATACTATATATATACACAATACTATAATTTCCTCTTAAAAGAATTCATATTAGATCAGGGCGATGAGTATATGTACCGAAAAAAGTAGTTTCACTACTCTCGAATTAAAGAAGTAGGACTCACAACGCCCTTTTGGGTCCCTTGAAAACGTAAAGTGAGCAAATGCATGCAATTTTGAAATTACATTGATTATAATTTCCAAAAATAAAGAAAAGTAATCATCCTTGAAATTTATCATAATTACTGTATAAACCAAATGCATTATTTGTTGAAAAATTATCAGTTAGTTTAACTTTATAGTGGATAAAAAAAATTAAAAAAAAATCCACTTTACTGTGATAATCAAGAGGAATAAAGTTCTATTTTTAAATATATCTTTAATTTAGTTCATAATTCATTAGTAATTAATTTTTTACAGTTTTGTCATTACTTATTGAATATCTTAAATATATTTATTTTAAGGTTAATAATCTTAATTGGATAATATTGAATTTGTAACTATTAGTATAAAATTTACGTGAAAAAAAAAAAAAAAAAAAAAAAATCAAAAATAAAAGTTAATGGTTTTAAATTAATTGAAAATTTTGAAAATTTTAGGCTTGGTCTGGTTAGATGACAATTAGTAGTGGCTATATTTTATATTTGTTTAGCATGAATTTTTTGCATTGCCTATTTTTTTAATATTATTTCATTTATATTAGAGAGGGTATTAATGTTTTGTTATGCTAACAGGGGGGTAATTGCATCAAATTGATAGTACAGGGGGGTTTTATACCGCACATGGACTGTTCTACACTATATCGATAGTAGAGGAGTTTTTTTACACTTAACCCAAGGGCAAAATAGGATTTTTGAATTTATTTTATGTCAATTTTGACCAAAAAGTGGTCATAGTGGCTTATTTGCACTTTTTTTAAAAAAAATTTATGGGCTGAAATTCACATTTTCAAAAAGTATGGACTATTTTTGCACAAACCCTATATATCATGGGTTTTTTTTTGCACTTAACCCCTATTTTTAACAAGTTGTCCTTTTTCTATCGAAGCATGGCAAGTATGTAATGCTAGATGTTATCTGTCTCATAATTGCTTAGATCTCCCTCATAATTTCCTCATCACTCTTCTCCCTTGACACACCTTCTCAACGATCTCGCCATCGGTCTCGGTACTGAAATTCCACCTTTCCAAAACCTCACCAGTGCCCTTATTCATTATCACGAGAACCAACCTATGTAACTTCCCAGCTTCAAGCCATTCTAAAATTTGGGCGGTTAAATTTGCAATTAAGGTTTTAATACCCTTATCTTGTGTAAGCAACACTGGGAGTCCATATTTCTTCACCTTTACAAAACTTTCTTCCGGGTAGATTCCGCAATTATATAGAATACTGTTTGCAGCATAACCGAAGAATTCGCTAACAATCGCCGCCGATCCGCGAAGAGTGATGATGTCTTTGGTAGCGGTTCTTGAAGCCATATGCAACCCTTTTCAAATCTGAATCTATAAAGTTGGTTTCAAATCTTAAGGGGAAAAAAAAAAAAACTGGGTTTGTTTGAGCCAAAAAATCAAACAGGTTGTGTGCGCTTTGTGGAAGGAAGAGAGAAAAATGGGACGATTTCAATTTAGTGAACTAGGATCTGGTTCAATCAACAAAGAGCGAGTATGTGTTGGGATAATGTGTGATGATAGAGTAAGGGTGTAATGGCCCGGTCATTTTCCTTCCTTTTCTTTTTTCTCAAATTTTATGGATAATTTTTTTCCGTTGTATTTTCTATTATGTGTTTGGTTTCTCATCACTTAGTGTCATCTCGAGCACTCGGAAATAATTTTTGAGACTCTTTCCTTTGAATTGACAATTTCATTTAAGGATCGAGTCATTTTCACATTTTTCGTTTTTCGATACTATTCACTTTTCGTCCTTTTCCTTATTTTGTCTTTTCCCTGTTTGTCATTTTTTAGCATAACCTCACTTTTCATGTTCGGAATTGGTTTTTGACTTCACGTATCTTCATTCTAAGTGGTGTCCACGAAATACGTATCTTTGCTTTTGGAATAAAGTACTCTGGTTGCTCCCGGTATCCATAGGGGCACGGATGCATAGTTTTTCAGAATCTTTTTATTTTTTTGGAGTGTTTTTCATAAATATATTTTGAAGATATTTATTTCAGGGGTTTTTAAGAAAATATTTTGGAAGATATTTTCATTCTGGGTCTTTAGTGTATTTTTCACTTTTTGGAGGGGTCATTGTGCAATTAATGAAAGTTATTGCAAAAATGCCTCGTTTTGAGCCTGGATCCTCGTACGGGATTCATTTTCACTTTTCGTCGAGTCATGTACTCTTAGAATTGTTTTCTGATCGTTTTTCCCCAATTTCAGGGCTTTTGGCCCTAATTGTCGCCGAACTTGTTCGGGGTATATCTTTCTACTCAGAATTCGGTTTTTGACGTCGTTTCTTCTGTTATTCATATTTTTTCATTTCGGTTCTTTTTCGTTCACAGAGTTTCGCCGCTTGAGCGAGTCTGCTCAAATTCCAATTTTTCGGACCAGGCGGGGCCCTTTCGGGACACTTTTAGGGTTTTACTATAAATAGGGGGTTATCAAATAAAAAAATGATCTTCCCCTCTCTTCATGGATGTCCAGCAGCATCCATGGCAGCCCAAAGGGGGCTACCACCCTTCTTCTCTCAATTAAACCTCATTCCTTTTGTTAAAAAGTCGTAGTGCCTTTGTGTTTTGTGTTTGTCTTGACTACGCGCATTTTTCCCCTTTATTAGAACCTCTTTTTGGCCAATTTTTGAGTTCGGATTTGAGGTCAAGTTAGAATTTTGGTAGGTCCTCTTTGGAGTTTAATGTTCACGGCGTTGTCCCCGACAAAACCCCGAAATATTGTCGGATTCGGAGCCATTTCATTTTGGTGGCTTTTGAGATTTTCATCTCAAATTAAAGTAGGGGAGGTCTTAGGCTTTTTATTTATATTGTATTGATGATTTTATAAGCTTATACCACTTGTATGCATGTTTTGTATTAATCCTATAATTTAATTTAATTATTTTTCCTTGTATATGATTTAATTCTCAAGGATGTGTATAACTTAGAATTAAAGTATAGCATGCTAGTAAATTTGGCCTTGGTATGGTTGTTGATATATATTAAATTTGGGTCATTTGAATAAGAATTGCAACTTTTATTTAATATTTTTCTTTTGTGAAAGATTAATTCTCATGGCCGTACCTTGCATGAAAGTAGCTCATGATAGGGTATTAAATTAAGTCTTGACATGCTCTTTAACATATTTTAATTTTGGAGCATTTGGATAAGTATGAAAATCTATAAATTTTAATTAAAATAATTAATTAAAATTGATTTAAAGGTTCCATTGGCTTAATTAAGTTTTAAACTTGATATTTGAAATTACTAGGATTTGTTTACTAGCATATATTAATTTGGGATCATTTGAAGTTGCTTTAGAAGTTAGAGATTTAATTATCACACGTACCTTACTTGAATTCTCGTCTCTCTTCACCTTCCAGGGCAATTCTGGCCCTTCTTTCAGTAAACGTTCGAATGTTTTGTTACGAGAGTCCAAACCCGAACCGTTAGTTGGAATATCTGACCCAGAATTGGGGTAGGAAGGAGCGGAGGTACAGAGGGAACAAACAGCCATTCGAGAGAGGAGCTCCGGGTAAGTTGTGGTGAGAACTCGTGATGCCATTTTTGCAATCTTTCCATGTTATGCGAGAGACAGTGGATTCAAGTAAGGTACGTGTGATATCCAACCTCGGCGGTGTGTTCTGGCTCCTATACGTTGCTGAGGTGGGCGGTTGATTTCAGCTGCTCCTCGAATGGTGGAGATCGCGCCACCTCAGGCAATTCGGAGCACAGCTTTTGGCATTTTAAAAAACCACAAAAAAACCTAAAATCATAAAACCCACCACTATTTGATCTCAAATTGTTTCTTAAAACCCAAACATATCAGCAACCATGCTTATTAAATAACAAAATTACCTTTATGATAAACCACTTTTAAAGAATCAAAAATTGATATTTTACAAATTATAAAATTATCCTGAGACACAAACTTGAATATTATAATGTAATTCAAGTTAATTTATGAATATTACATTTAAATTATAATTTAATTCATTTCATTTAAATAAAAAAATCTTTTGTATAATTCACAATTTAGTAAACAAAAAACAAAATAAGTCATGAAAATATCCTTATTTATTTTATATTTTTAAAAAATTGAATCATTTTCATACTTAAAAAATTCAAACAGTCGAACTAATTACTACACAATTGAAATATAAAAATTGACAATAATTAGGATAGCTAATAATTTTTTTCAAATATGTTTAAATGGAAAACTAGTAGATTTTGGATAACCAATAAATTTTGAATAAAATTTTAATTACAAAAGTTTAATTCTTATTTTGAAAAATGGTATATATAAAAAAACGATTATTTAAAACTCAATTGGAAGAATATTTTCAAAGTTAGATTTATTTTATTTCTAAAAAATAAATAAAATGAAAGGCCTCATTTGTGTTTTAAAAGGAAATGCATAATTTGATGGTAAATTTTTTTAAAATTCTTTTGTTTTCTTCAGTCATAAATTATCTAAAATTTTAATTCAATCATTTTCATGGATGAGTAAATGGTAGCTTATATTATTTAACATGCTTAGGGGCATTTTTGGAATAACAAAAAAAATGTAACTGCACATGATTGGCACAATGTTTTTCAAGTTATAATTTTGTCACTAAAATTATTTTGCCAATGCAAATGAGTATGACCCGCTATTTTAAAGCCCCAAACTAATAGAACTGGGGTAATGTGATAACTTTGTAATAATACTGGGGTTTTAGAAACAACTTAGGGTTTTATGATCAAAAATTAAAAATAGTGGAGGTTTTATGATTTTAGCTCCCAAAAAAAAAAAGAAAAGTCAGTTAGTTTAACATTAAGGATTAATATCCATCCACTGGTTCTCTCTACTTCCCTAACGAGACACTTCTTATTATTGATTCTCGATGTTTATATCTCGCGGGGATGCCAAACTCTGGTGGTTCAAACAGTTGGAGGATTAATTATCAGTCGGGAATTATAAGAATGGATTTTCGGAACTATGATGTCAAGCTCCCAGTTGTTCATCCTCCACCTGTATGCGATAATGGTGTCCAAGCCCATCTTTGTTTCTCAATATTTTAACTGATTCAAAGTTGAATTGAAAATAACTAAGAAAGTATAGAGTGAAATGACTTAATTCATCTAAGAAACTGTAACAACTTACTCACAACACATGAATCAATTGGGGATAATAAATACCCAAGTCATTAAAACCATAATTATGGAAAATTTTGATTGCTGAGCCCAAACACTCCAATACTCGCCTCAGTTAAATTATAGCTTCAATTAATTTAGGGCACCTCCAATTTCTCCTATTTTTCTTCCAAGTCTGCCTGCCATTGTCGCAAAGATGGACAGAGGGAGATTAGGACTAGGATGCCACATGCCCTTGAAATTTTTAATTTTGTATTTTTATATAAGGTCAAGTGTATAAAACATTCCTAAAGTATGTTTACATTGTATTTCACACCCCTCGCGTACAAAAAACATTCTTAAAAATTCAATTTGGTGCAAATAGGTCCCTCTGATAAATTTAAATCATAAGTTGACTAAATTACACTTACTGAACTATTTTATAATATATATAAAAATAAATAATTTTATAAAATTACCGAAAATAACATTATTGGAGGACGCTTGCAATGAATGAATAAAGATAAAAATAAAAAATAAAAATAAAAGTATAAAATAAAAGTAAAGATAAAAATGAAAAAAAAAACTAAAATAAAGTGCATACTAAAAATAATAAATTTGTAAGAAAATCTCAATATCAGTGCAAATAAGTCCCTCTGATAAATTTAAATCATAAGTTGACTAAATTACACTTACGGAACTATTTTATAATATATATAAAAATAAATAATTTTATAAAATTACCGAAAATAACACTATTGGAGGACGCTTGCAATGAATGAATAAAGATAAAAATAAAAAATAAAAATAAAAGTATAAAATAAAAGTAAAGATAAAAATGAAAATAAAAAACTAAAATAAAGTGCATACTAAAAATAATAAATTTGTTCCAAATTCTCAATATCAGTGCACACTGATATTGAGATTTTCTTTCAATTTTTTTTTTTTTAAATTTTTTTTTTTTTTAATAACAATGTTTGTACGAAAAATAAAATAAATAAAGAAGAAAAAAATTTAATAGAAAACAGTAAACTGAAATCTCAAAAAATTCAAATCATTGTTTTACAAATTTTCAAAGTTTGAAAAAAAAAAAAAAAAAAAAAAGAGTTTAGAAATACATATAGAGAAAAAAGTTTCAAAAAAAAAAAATTAAAAAGGTCAATGAAGTAACATAATGTTGTTTGCAGCTTTTTTCCCCTTCCAGTTAAGAAAAGGTACCCCAAAAAAAAAAAACACTTTATTAGAAAAGGGTAAAACCGAAAATATCTATTTTTTTTTTTTTCTTTTTTTGTTTGAAAGGTAAAATTCAATATTATAAATATAAACATAATTACAAGCCAATGAATCAGTTAGCGATAGCCTCAAATACAAAGGCCCAGAGGCCCAACCTAAAGCCCAAGGAAACAAAATCCAATACCTTAATCCCTCGCCAACAGATTAATCATACATACATGGCCGTTACCGGCCAACAGATTTTGGGCGACATTCATGGTGAACAGACACCAATACCTTAATCCCTCGCCCTTTGATCTGGTGGTTTTGCTGGTGGACGAACAAAAGACTCATGAATGTCCCATTCGGATGCAAATGTTGTAAACCAGGGAAGCAAGGCTCATTTTTGAGATTGAATTGCTATGGGATTCAGAATTACCTTTCCAATGGTGGCATGCCCAAGAGATCAGCGCTGTCCAAGAAGATGGAAGAATATGGTACCCGCAACGCGCTTGTAGGAAGGTCCACAAAGGCTTGACAAAATCACATTTGAAGAAGAGGTGATTATGGGACTCCAATTTTCTATTGTAGGGGATACAGATTGTTGCATTGATATTGGTTGTGCACCTCCTATTCAATGATGGAAGACGATGTTGTATAGCAATCCAAAGTGTGAAGGCCTGCTTTTTGGTATTGATGGCTTAGACCAAATAGATGAGGCTACTAAAGAGATACCAAATTTGGTAAATTTATAATTGCAATAGTCCTTTGATTTTAATAAATTCGTAGTTTAGAATTTGGAAAATCTTATACTTAGTCCAATAATTATGGGTCTCATCATTTTTGTTGATAAATGCAACAAAAGAAAAAGAGGAGAAGTTACTGGTCTTCCTTGTGGCCTTTTTGGCTTGAGTCTACAGTCCGAGGATTGATAGAGAGACAGAGTCTAGAAAAAGAGGAGATCTTAGGGTCGGGCCGGGCGGGCCGAGCACAATCCGGTACATTCAAACAACAAATAACAAGGATCACAGGCTTAAATAAGTTTTTCTCATACTAGAAGGCAAACCAAGGATCAATAATGAAATTCCACTCAATACAGTAAAATTTTCATGACGGTAGGATCAAATAAAAGCACAGGGGAACAAAGAAAGAGGCTTAAACGATGAAATAGATTAAGGTTGTCCTTATGATAAGATCAAATCTTAAATTAATTTTTATTTTGTCTGGATTATAGCTATAAATTTGAATGCATATAGTGTCAACTTTAAAACTTCAAATGAGTAAATTTAAAAAAGAAAACAAAAGAAGTAATGCACAAAATAAAATGCACGGAATTTCGAAAAAATATAAGACATAATAAATCCTTGTAGTATAAGAGAACATGGCCTAAAGAAAACATGATGTTCAGTACAATAGAGAGAACACGGTGATCCTCATTGATTAAGTTTTGCTGTACATTATTATTTACTTCATGAAATCTCCTAATTAACCCTCCATCTCACACGTGTCATGTCCTCATAAGCTATCATCATGTCCACAACATTCGGATCATATGCTCTTCCCTGCACTTTTTGTCCACCTAAGTAATCAGCGACCCTTTTCAGCTCCCTTGGTATATAATCAATATAAACCTCATCAAAGCTATTCAAGATTTCAAACAATTCCCTACAAACAATAATAATTCTTTTTTTTGATAAGTAATAATAATATAAAAAAGTGTTCAAAAGGGGAAAGCGTCCCTTGTACAAAAATGGAATCGGAACTAAAGCCCAACATGGTTTGCCCAATGCACCCCCATTTTATAACCAAACATCTCCGTTTCAAATGCCTCGGTGACAAAGACTGGTGCTTTGTCGCTAAAGACTGGTCTTTTTGTTTTTGTGGTCCTTTGGGGCAGGCACGTGGGATATGGGCTATCATGTTCCGATGGAGCTTTTAGGAAAGTGAGGGGTGTATGGAAAGGGGCATGGTCTTTTTGTTTTCGAGGTCCTTTGGGGGGTGGTTTTATATGAGGAATCTGGTATATTTTGAATAGGGAACACTTTATCGACAAAGCATCAGTCTATCCTTTACAACCATCTGAATCCATATTCCACTCTATCCTTTACAACCAACTAAGAAATTAAGATGTGTTAAATGACTTTAAAAAATTTAATAAAAATCATCTATATTGAATTATGTGGTAAAAGTCCCCTATGTGAGAGATGTTAGGAATATAGACTAAAGAGTTTGAAGAACTAATGGAGTTCAGTTATAAATAATAATAAAAACGGCATACTATGAAGATGAACAAAGTGATATATATATATATATATATATATATATATAGTTAAAACAGTGAACACTTAATGGATTATAAAAGATTTGTAATAAATAAATAAATATATATATATAATTTTATGATTTGTAATAAATATATATAAAAAATAATTTTCTGATTAAGCAATTATAAAGAGATGAGAAAATAAAACAGCTACACAAAGTAAGATAAAGTATTATAGAAAGCTAGTAAGAGCTGACCTTGAAGATGATGAGGGCATGCTAGGCACTGTTAGGCCTCCCTATCGTGCAAGTACAGATGGTCCAATGCGGCTCTAAGATACAACCCAAGCTTCTCAAGCCGAAAGTCATCTATGAGCACGTCCACAGGCGACTTGTCTAAGAATGTCAAGTTGCCACAAACATATGGAAAGAATATGACGGTAGAAACTAGATAAATACGGTTAGAATAAGGGTATATAATATGAGAGTTTAATATTCTATTCAAAATGTGGATATTTGCATCTCCTAGATGGCAATGGCTAGAGTATCTACCCTTTATTAACCAAATAAATTCCCATAAAACTTGAAGCTATTAAAAGCCTAAAACGTTCTAATATATAAATCTGTCAATAAAATCAATAATGGAAAGATTTGTTAAGACAAAATAAAAGAATTTTAAACTCAAAAAACACAAACTCTTACAAATAAGGAGTTTTAAAAACCTTTAAAATTCTCAACAATCTAAACATAAACTCAAGAGTCAAGGCATAAAACAGAAAAGAAGAATAAATAAAAAAACAAATTACCATTTCCCATCACACTATTATCATCAAAGGAATTTAATAGTTCATAAAGTTTTAACAGTTATTCTAACAAGATCAATTACATCGTTCAACTCTGTTATTTTTATTTGTGAAATCTGTTATTATCATTTACAAAAATCAATATCAAACCCAAATGAGAGAGAGAAGAGAAAGCTAATAAAATATAGAGAAAGTTTAGATATCAAAAACGTTAATTGGGAAAGAAGGGAGATAAAAAGATCTTACCATAATTGAAAAGGGTAATTGTATTATATGAGAAAATTAATTTTTAAAGTTAAGGTTAGAGGTGTCATTTCCTTTTAGATTAGAGTGTAGTAGTATAAAAGTGGAGTACCAATATCGCCTCCGGTTCAATTTCAATCTTGAAGGACTTCATACCAGAATAAAATCGTTCCATGTTTTTTAATTAGGCTTCATAGTGGCATTGAAAAAGCCTATGATCATGTTTGCTGGAATTTTTTGTTCTATTTGCTTGAGAGGATGGGTTTTGGTGAGAGATGGAGGAAATGGATTGCTTTTTGCGTTTCGTCTGTCAGATTCTCGGTGCTGGTTAATGGTTCCCCTTCGGGGTTTTTTGGTAGTTCTCGTGGATGGAGGCAAGGGGACCCCCTCTCCCCTTTCTTGTTCATTATTGTTATGGAGGCTCTTAATAGGCTGATGAGGAAGGCTGTTTCATCAGGGATGTTTCGGGGCTTTATGATAGGTCCTGAGGCAGTTCATCAATTGGAGATTTCTCACTTGTTGTTCGCGGATGATACATTGGTTTTTTGTGAGGCAGAGGCGTCCCAATTGAGATATTTGAGATGTGTCCTGGTTTGTTTTCAGGCTGTTTCTGGGTTGAAAATCAACGTGGGCAAGAGTGTGCTTGTCCCTGTGGGGGAGGTTCAGGAGGTGAATTCCCTTGCAGCTGTGCTTGGATGTAGGACGGGTTCCTTCCCTATCTCCTATCTGGGTTTGCCCCTGGGGGTCTCCTCAAGAAGGGCGGGCTATTGGGATCCAGTTATTGAGCGCTTCGAGAGAAGGTTGGCTGGATGGAAAAAACAATATCTTTCGAAGGGAGGTAAAGTTAGGCTGGTGAAGAGTGTCTTGTCCAGCTTTCCAACTTTTTTCCTCTCCCTATTCCAGATTCCTTCTTTTGTTGAGAGGAGGCTTGAGATGATTCAACGTAACTTCCTTTGGGGTGGCAGGGGGGAGGAGTTTAAGTATCATCTGGTTAGGTGGGAGCAGGTTTGCAAGCCGTTTAAGTCAGGAGGCCTTGGGATTCGGAGGTTGGTCCCTTTTAACAGGGCCCTTCTTGGCAAATGGCTTTGGAGGTTTGACAGTGAAAGACATAGACTCTGGAGAAAGATTGTTGCTTGCAAGTTTGGGGAGAATAGAGGGGGTTGGTCTGCTAGATAGGCTAGATCTGCTATTGGTGTTGGTGTGTGACAATCTATTGGGAAGGGTTGGGATGAGTTTTCTAAGCATATTAGATTCAGAATTCGAGAAAGGCGGAGTGTTCGATTTTGAGAGGATCCTTGGTGCGAGGAACGTCCTTTGTGTCAACAGTTTCCAAGGTTGTTTAGGATTGCCGTGCTTTGGTTGCTGATTGCTATCGCCTTGATTGCGGAAGGTTATCTTGGGATGTTCTCCGGCGAGCTTTCCAGGATTGGGAGCTGGATGATGTCACTGCTTTTTTGGCTCTCTCGTATCGTTAGGAGGTGGAGGGCACAGGGGTGGACCTTTTGACTTGGGTGCCTTCTTCGTGGGGGACTTTTCAGGTCCGGTCTTTCTTCTTCCGTCTTTCCAGTTTCAGGCTCCCTCTTATCCATGGAAAACGGTTTGACATTCGAAGGCTCCTCTTAGGGTCGCGTTTTTTGTGTGGACTGCTGCTTGGGGCAAGATCCTGACTCTGGACAATTTGAGGAAGAGGGGACAGGTCATTGTTAATCAGTATTGTTTGTGTATGACCGATGGAGAGTCTGTGGACCACCTTCTCTTGCACTACCTAGTGGCCTATGACTGTTGGAGTCTTATGTTGGGCCTTTTTGGCGTTCAGTGGGTTATGCCTCGGACCTCCCAAGGTCTTATCGATATTTGGAGGCAGATGGTGGGGACTCGAGTTCGTGACTTTTGGAGGGCGACTCCCCTATGCATTTGGTGGTGTTTATGGAAAGAGCGCAATAGAAGATCCTTTGCTGAGGAGGAACTACCCATTGGGGTTCTTAAGTATTCTATTATTTGTTCTCTTTTTAGTTGGGGCATGGGGAGAGATTATTCTTCCGTTGAGGAGCTTTTGGTTTTTTTGGGGTCTTTGGATCCCTAAGCTTTTTTGGTTTGTGTTCATGGTTCTTGTACAACTTTTGGGATGCGTTCCCCTTTTGAACACCTTCTAATACACTTTTATTTATCAAAAAAAAAATTAGGACTAGATCGAAGATCAGCACGAAGCCAAAAAAATTTCTTGGAGGAAACATTGTACATTATAATACATATCTACTAATTTACACAATAATGTGCGCATATAAATGTTTATGTGGGTATATATATATATGAAAATACTTGCCTTAGGCCATTTATGTGACATTGCCCGAAGAGAATTCAACAAGTGTCCTAAAGTTCAAAATAAATATTTAAACTGAGCTAAACTCATTTTCGTGGGTTAACCTGGCTGATAGGAATTAGGGTTTTGTCTTTGTTCCTCTAGTTTTTTTGTAAACTTAAGGACGCTTTGCTTGAGGTTAGAGACAGAGAGAGAGAGAGGAGAGAATGATTTCGTATAGGTTTATGTTCTTTTTGAGCATCCGGCCATGGTCTGTGTTTTGCCTCACGTGCTATCATTTTAAACTGAGTTGACCTTTTAAAAATGGATTGATCCATAAAGTAAAAAATTTGTTGAGTCCACTCTGGGAAGTCCATATAATATTGTAAGACTATTTTACATCAATCTTGATGATGAATTTCCAATAATTAAGTCATCAATACATAGATAGCCAACCCAAAAATTAGAAGCTTTTTTCAAAAAATATTTTTTTATTTTCTGGTGTTTGGTTGTCATAAAATATTTACGAAGAAAAAAAATATTAAAATCTAACAAAAATAACTTATCCATCAATTTTCGAAAAGTTATTTTACATGCCCCGCCCGATAGACTTGACCTCAACCTTGACGTAAACCTTTGTCAAACACCGAAAAAGTAAAAAATAAAAGAATATTTTACCTGAAAAAGGAAAATATTTTCCAAAAAAAGCACTTTACATCCTTGCCCTGTTTTCTTCTTCCTAGTTCGCTCACCAAGCTCACAACCTGGAAATGTTTTGTAACAAGGGTGAGCTACAAGAGTCCAGCAGGTTTCCATATTTGTTGAAAACCAATAACTTCCATCAAAGATCAAAAAACATATTTTTCTTTCAACATAGTGGCCGGAAAAAAAAAAAAAAAAACTCTTTAGCAAATTTAGAGCATGAACTGAACAACTGGATTTAGATGACCAAATAATGAAAAATAATTATGATTTAATTAACATATTATCAAAAACCATTTGGGTCATTTCCAACAGGTTAAATCATCACTTTGATAAGACCACAATAGTTCATAAAACTAGTCATAATTTTTTCATCTTTCATTTTCAACAGCATGAATGCATTTATCAACCAATGATGGTGGTCCTCAAAGAAAAATCCAATGCACCGCAGTGATCCCAACCATCAATACCCAAACAAGGGTCTACCACGTGGGCTTCGGGTCTTTCACTCAACAGTGACACATCCTGTACCTGTTTCTTTAAGGAAATTTGCCCAAAAGCCGTAGCCCAAGCAAGGCCAACAGTGTACACAATTTATCATTTTTTTTCCTTTTTAAACCAATTAATTTTTTGTACTCCAAATCCCATTTCAAAGAAGAAATCAGTGTTCACATTCAGAGTTTCTCAAACTCAAGCTGTCTTCTTCAAAACACAATTCATTTCAAAATTCATTAAGAACCAAAAATCTCATATATATTAAGAAAACAAAATTTCTGGAAAAGCATCACTATGTTCACAAAATTTCACATTAAAAAATCCAACCATAGATATGTATTAAAATTCATTAAAAGTAATGTCATTCCAGGACTTATGTACAATTTTCTGCAGAAACACATTTTCTTTGAAAATTCACCAAAAATAGCATATTAATCCAAATTACACGAATCCAAAGCCATTTGAAAGCTAACCTACTGTACTTTGATACCAACATTTTATTAAAACAAGCAAATGAACAATCGGTACAGTTTTAAATATAACAGTAGCCAAAATTTAGTTTGAAAACAGTTTTTCACAACATAATATACTCGAAAATTCATAACAAATTCAATTCTCAACCAATTTAAGTAAAATAAAACTATGTAAACTCCTACCCAGTGTACTGTAGTATCTCAAAATTTCAAAGCCAATTAAGAAGTCAAAAGTATGATAAATTCAGCCCTAAACCCATACTGTTCAGTTCAATCTTCAGCACAAATATACAGTTCCAAACCCAACAAGTTTTCAGCTCATTTCACGCTTTGACAAAGTATTTGACAATTCAAACCATAGTCCAAGGTGATGAAACAATAGCAGCATTTTTTCTAAATTTTTAACAAAATAAATCAAATTTTAAAAATGGTTAAGAGAGGGAAAACCTACATCTTTGAGCCTTTTTTCCCAATTTTCCTTCTCTATTTTTCTCTCTTTGTTAACCCCCTATATATACTTCAGCATCAAGTTCATTACTCTCAGCTTTCTCCATCTCTTTATACCATACATATACCTAAATGTATATATATCCTCCCACTACCCAGGTGAGAACCTTCCCTTTGGAAGCTTGCTGCCTTATGAGTATACAAGTGTACATATAATGCTTCCTTACATAAAACTTGTCACTATACATACATATGGCTTCTCTTGGAAACTGTCCACATGTTTTGCATAAAAAAAGGTACGGAGAGTTCTACAAAGATAACATATACATATTTTTAGTACATGGTGGATAACATTTGGCACTTGTAGTGGTCACACCGTTCTTAAATATTTTTATTTTGTTTTGTTCTAACCCTTTAGCTTTTCATAATTTACATTTTCCCACAAGACCATAAATCTTTATTTCATTTTAAATCCTTGTACTTTCTCAATTTCTATTTTTCACCGCCACTATTGAACTTCATATCTCTATTCCACTCATCATCGTTTTGTAATTAAAATTTCAATGTACGTACCAAACCCACAAGTCCAAATCTGTTATTTGGGTTTTACTTAAATTGATCCATCTTATAATTCACAATAACCAATGATATTGATAAAATTTGCAAAGGCAACCATCTCATTGGGTTTAATCCAATATAAATTTAAGTGAACTTTAACCCATGTCTTACTAACTAACTAACTTCCTTAAAATTCAGGATATTACAATAACAAATTATGTTCAACCCTTTTTAGCGGTAGAAACAACAGGATCATCTGCACTAGTACTCCATCATTTGCCTTCAATTTAACGGGAGTATTTAATTCTCTATTTATGCAAGTTTATGTACTATTTAACACCCTCATTTTATAATATAGTAGAGGGGGTATTTGTAATTTTTTTAAACTGCAGGGGGATTTAGTGCAATTTGGCCAATTAAAAATTCAAACTCAGATTACATAGCATTTTTCTCTCAAAATTTCCTACCCACTTTCTCAATCCTCAATCTCATCCAAATCCTACCAGAGCTGTTGTCCATCAGCGAAACACCACCACAGATCTACCAGAGAACCAAGGTGACTCCCGTTCTCTCCCTCTCTCGATGAACTGAACCCTTTTTATTTTTTTTTTCTGTTAGAAACTGAAGGACTGATCACAAGGAGTCTTCTCTCTCTCTCTCTCTCAATTCTTAATGTTTAAACCCATACTACTATTTTGTCCATCCTGTTTAATCTTTGACGATAAGATTTGTGTGATGAAAAGTAAATCATTAAAAAAAAATAAGCTCTTTTCTTTACAGTATGTTTTGATGTAGAAGAGGAGAAATCAAAGTAAAAGTACCTGACTTCAAATATCCTCATCAGACAATTCTTCAACTTCATTACTTCTTTTGGGGATGATCTCATATCGTGGAATCTTCCATTGATCACACCTGACTTGTGTTTCATAACCTCTGTCGCCTATTGGAAAGCTCTGTCCCTCGGCCAGATGCGAAGCTATATGCGCAACTCTTTTAGCTAAACTGTTTCCTTGAGGACATTGAAACAATATTTTATATTGGTCAAATTCTGACAACATATAAAAAAAATTCCTGCAAAACAATAATTTTTATATCAATGTAATTGGAAACTGGAATGTAAGTTTAAAGAATAAACTCAAACTTTATACTAAAAGCTTACCCACAAAGCTCCATATATTCCCACGGGACATGCTTATCACGAGTTAGCACCTAGACAATTTTTTTATGGTCAATCTCCAATATTATTTTCTTTGCTTCTGATCTCCTTTGGAGAATTTCATCTATCCCATAATGCACTCCAAGTAAGAATACTTCATTTCTAGACGTCGCATCAGGAAGTGGCTTATGGAACCTCTCCAAAACCGTTCCCCAAGAATCTCTTAATACTTCTCCACAATAAGCTTCTTTGGTCCCATCAAGATTTTCCTTAAAAAAACCCAGAAATGTTTAACTTGTACCACCCATCCAGTGGCGCTCGCCAAAAACAGACGATTACTGCTTGTTTTAATAAAGTCTTCGGACAATTCTCCAAAACATAAATTTGTTGCTTAAACATGTAATTATAAATACTTTTTTTGTACTGTTCATGAATCCTGTCGAACCACCACATGAAGTCTGCTATTGAGATATATCTGAACTTGGAATCCCCAGCCACATGCCAATCAGTGTTACTCTTTTTGTACAACCCATAATTTTCTAATATTACGTTGTGCTTCTGTTCAGAAAAGAGATGTCGGTATCTACGAAACCCTGTTGTTTAAAGATCAAACAATATATTTGTTAAAAGAATAATTTGATTATGTACAATAAAAAACTATAAAGATATTAAACTTACATAAATATTGTTGATGTTAGGGGAGCATCCTTGTGATACCCCCACATTTCCACGTGTAGGCTGGCCAGGCCCACACCCGAAAACATGGGAATATCAAAACAATATAGTACTTAAACGAACACAGAATACAAGAGGAATAAAAAAAAATGATTAAATCGCTGAATGGAATTCTATTAATAAAATTAAATCTCTTTTACAAAAATATTTTCATGAGTTTCAAAATTTGAAAATATTATACAACTCAGGAATCCCATAAGTTAAGGACTCCTAAACCAAAATCTTATAAACCACCAGTTTATACAAAACATTTAACAATAATTAACTATACTAATTAAAGGTAAACAAGATGAGTAGATGAATGACAGTCTCCCAGCTGCGGATCCTCAACCTCGAGACTGGAACTTCTAATAACCTGAAAAATAAATCGTGGGTTAGACCCACGAGCAAGTTCCCTCTACCAAGCCTCTAAAAACCAATAAATAAAGCATCTCTAACCAAAATCATTCTAATTAAAGTTTTAACCTTTAATATAAGATGATACAAATTTATATAAATAATTATATATAAATACAATAATCCTATCTATTAATAGGTTCACTAAATTTGTTGAAACCAATCACCAACGATTAATTATCAATCATACCTAGACCAAATCCATCATTTATATTTATTTTCCAAAACCAATAATGATTATAAGTATTTACATCACACCGCTAGGCTTTGACAAATCATCCATGTCATCACTAGTATTATTTTGTTAATATGTATAAAGTAATACACTATCCTGAAAGTATTAGACTATTCTAATTTAAGAATATCTAATTAATCCTAATCCAACCTATACATGCAATACTTATAGATGATATACTTTAGTCATCTAACACATAACAATAATACACTTTGGCAAATCAACCATGCCCTTATAAATATATTTATTTATATACTGGCAACTCAACCATGCCTCCTTTAAGTATATTCATGTATAACTTTGGCAAATCAACCATGCCCCTCTAAGTATATTTATTTATACCTTTGACAATTAAACCATGTCTAATTCATACATAAACATCTCATGCACATTATAAGCATATTACCATTTAATAATCAGTCTATCCAAATATATAAGAATAACTAATATTAATTATCTTAAATAATATATACCTATACACATATACTATATAATATATATGTATAATACCTTCCATTTATATATATATATATATATATATATATAAATACTCTCTTCCATACTAATCATAATTAAATCAAAACTCCATGTGTACACATATATACATATATATAAATATATATACACATATATACACCACCCTCCATAACAATATAATATATTATTATATTTACTCCAAACAATTACCTACTAATCCTCGTAGTAACACTCTATGGTTCTTAGAATACCAAGAACACCTCCTCAAGTGGTTATTTTCAACCCTCACAGGCATAAAATCAATTCTAAAAATTCACCGGACCCCACAGGACCTTTCCAGGACTCCGAACACCTCCTCACGCGCCCCCACGAGCCGCCAAACGCGCCTAAAACTCTGGAACGCGCCTCCACAAGAAGCCACGTGGCTTCACGCGCCCCCACGCGCTCTCACGCGCCGCCCATGCACCTGGCTGACGTGGCGCTCTCTCATTTGCTGGATGTAAACTGGTCCTTATGCGCGTGTCACATAGGATCAGTTCACCGCATCTCTATACACCTCCATGCACTAGCACCACATCACATCAACTCTCCTTTCAATCAGCCACATCTAAGGTTCAAATTTATGGTACATTGAACCTCCATGCACCCGCATTACACTGAATCAATCTAGTTAACTTTAAATAATCCAATGGCCAAGATCAGCTTGTGTACCAAATTCCTATGCACCATATCACACCAGAACCTTCGCTGGTCATCAGGACCATCCCATGGTCTTGATTTGAGGCGCACCGTAGTGTAATGCACCTGACCGCGCCGAATCAGAATCGTTTTTATGCATAGAGACCTCTAATTCGTGTACCCCGTATGCACATATATTATTTTTTTATACACATAAATAATTCTAAAAATATCATAAAAATATAAAACAAATCCAGAAAAATATAGAAAAATTCCAAAAATTCTAGAAAAATTCCAGAAAAATAATTAACCCTTTTGGGTCACAAATTTTCCTATACATTGATTTTAAAAACATATATACCACACCTATATACATAATTAAAATCCAATGAATACACAAATTAAATATAATAATTTATATATATATATTTTTTCGATCTAACATGATTTAATTAATGATTTTAAACTAAATTTTGGCACCCAAGGTGATAAATTTATGGGTCCTACGAGGAGAGTTAGAGACAACTTGCCTGAAGATTTCGAAACGAAATCGAAGCTTTAATCTTTGGTTGTCTCCTCCAATCCCTGCATCCTCTTCCTCAGATCCGGCCTACTCCTTCTCTGTTTTCTCTTCTTCTTCTCTCTCTGTCTCTCTTAATTTTTCTAACGTGTAAACTTTTTAACCCTAATCATTATGTGTATATTTATACACATTAAACCCTAAATCCTATTCCTAGTAGGACTACCAAATAAAATAATAAACTAATACTCTTTAAACAATATAATATATATAAACATGTATTATATTATTTATATATATATATATATATATCTCCCATAATTAACCATCGATTAATTAAATCATAAATCCTATATATATATATATATATATCCATAAATATATATCTCTATATATATCTTTCTCTAACAATTATTAATTAATTAATTAGGATTAATTAAATAACCATAGGCCTTTATTAATTAACCCAATAAGGCCTCCTTCAAGCCCAAGACCATATCCTTTGGTCCAACATTCCTTAAGTCCAAACCACTTAATCTAAATAAATAAAATAATTAAATAAATACTTAAATTAAAATACTAATTACATAAAACACATAAACAAATAAGAATTTACAACTAAGTCACATCATATCAATACGCCAACAATTCAATCAATAATTAAATACACACACATCAATCATCATATCAATTCAATAAATATATAATTACAAAATAAAATCAAACTAAAATGAGACAATTAATCTAAACACTCAATTAAATAAAATAAATCATTTAAAAATAAAATAAAATTCATTAATCCCAATTAATAAATCCTTTAAATTATCGGGGTATTACAATCCTTTCTTGATGTGAAGGGCAATCACCATAGGATGAAGGATATCTAAGGAGTCTAAGGAGGCATAATATAAAAATATCATTAAAGGCAAAAATATAGCAACAAATAGCAATGAATGGATAAACATTATAATCACATGACGCCAAAATCTTTCTTGATTGTGTTCAAGTATCAGGTACAAAAACAGAAATAATAATAAAATATCCCAAAAGAGGGAAGCTATGGCGAAACACAATGCAACGTTTTAAACCGAATTATATCTTCGACACCATTTCAAGCTCTGAACAATATGCTTTCATTACGGACTTCTGCTTCATTTTCAAAACCAGCTACGAAACCAAAACAAGCATGGAACTGATTTTCAGGAATTATAGCAATAAAAGATTGCAATTTGACTTTTGCGTGATTTTGTGTTCGAGACAAGTCAGAATGGAGAGGAGAAGATTTTCGGAGGTAGCAAGACTACTGAAGATGCAAGAATCTCCTTCTATTCTTTCTCTCTCTAGAATTCTTACACCTCAACCCGAATCAAGATCCCCCTCCTCTTCATTCCAACTCCTATTTATAGATATTTACAAGATATTTACAAGATATTTACTAATTGCTGGACCTGGGCCTATTCCTCAGTAAGCCCTGGTCACTCTTGATGGGCTTACTCCCGCTCGGCCCATATGGCAGTGTCTTTTTATGGGCTGACCCAGCTGTTCGGACTGAAGGTTGTGTTTTGCGAGTCGGACCTGGCCCATGTCATCCAGGGCCTCCTCAACTGCCCCCATAATTGCCCCTTATTTAATAAGGGGTAATTATTGATGGCGTCTCATCATGACGCTGACGGCTCGAGATAACCACGTGGGGGAGCGAACGGTCAGATCCAGAATCAATGTTCCGGGGTTCGAGGGATTTCTTGCCTTCCCGACGCTTCGGCCCTCGGGCCCCCTTGCCTATATAATGCTCTCGAATTCCACTTCACTTCCCTTTACCGTCTCCATCATCAGCCAAATCTCCCTCTTTCTAGAACTGTGCTAAGCCTTTTCCGGTGAAATCCTTCGAGAGTCATTCTCCCAGCGATCTTGCAGTCCTCCGAGGTTAGTTTCGTTCTTTTTACTTTCGGCAGGCTTCCATTTTCCCTCTTTTAGATTCTTCTTGCACTTCCACCATGGTTGTAGATCTGGGTGTCCTTCGTATGAGACTTAGGCTTCCTGACAACATCGTAGTTAGGGTTTGCCCCCAAGACGTTAATATTACGACCGGCGCCGGCCTCCTGCCCGGCGAAGTCTTATTCACAAACCTTCAACTGAATGTTGTTAGGTTCCCTCTGCACCCTTTCTTTAGTTACGTCTTCAACAGATTGGGGATATCCCCTCTGCAGGTCAACCCCAACTTCTTTAGGATCATATCTGTTATGCTCTTATTGATGCGTGACAGAAATCTGGACCTTGACCTCATAGACCTCCTTCTGTGCTATAAGGTCAGTAAGATCCGTACTAACGAGCCCTTCTACCACCTCTACCCGTTCGAGAAGATGTCCATATGCACTGACACAATAAAATCTGAAAAGGGTTGGAGGGATAGCATAGTGGGTATTAGTGGGGCTTGGTCTTCGCCGGCTGCAGAGGATTACCCTATCCCGAGCGCCTTTGGTGTCTGCTCTGTCTCCTCCTATAAAAAATTCAAATCCCATAAACACGACTGCCCCTGTGAAACATGCGTTCCT